TATAGCAATAGACTCAACAATTATTCAACTAGATATTACATATTTTCACCTTCATGTCCAAATAATTTGAAAGCAATTTGTAATTAATATGCAATAATCGACAATAGATCAATGACTCGGCGATGATTAAGCTAGATATCACATATATTTACCTTTTTTCTAAATAATTTAAAAGCAAATTGCAATTAATATGCAAGATTTAGCAATAAGTCTATGACTCGGCAATGATTCAACTAGATATCACATATTTTCACCTTCTTTTCCAAATAATTCAAAAGCAAGTTGTAATTAATATGCAAGATTTTGCAATAGGTCAATCACTCGACAATGATTCAACAAGATATCACATATTTTTACCGTCTTTCTAAATAACTTAAAAGAAAATTATAATTATTATACAAGATTTAGCAATAGGTCAATGGCTTAGCAATGATTCAACTAGATGTTTCATATTTACCTTCTTTTACAAATTATCTAAAGGAACAAGACACAAGTATCCTCTAAACTATGAATGAAATTTCATAGACACGCCTAAATTTAACTAGGATCATATTACCCCATAAATTAATTTAAATTGGAATGAATACAACAATGTTAATGTAGCATATAGAGTGTGCACACTCTCTTTAAGGCAAGTAATGAGTAAAAAAATTGGATACATCTCCTTTTTAAATTGATAACTTTATAATTAGTGAGTACACATAATTATTCATGCTAAAACTATTTATTATTTTCATTTAATTCTTTGTAGAATATTTATTTTAATTTCTTTCTCACTTAAAAACTTTTTTATTTTCCTTTCATTAATATATTATCTTTTCACCTTTTAATTATTATAAAAATTATGTGTATTTTTGTTTTAAAATAATTAGAAGGCGTCATTTATTTCTAATGTTTTAATTGATTTTCTTCACTTATTTTCATATCATTACGACATTAACTTATTTGAAATACAACATTTGAAGTTAAGTCAAAAGGAAAGACAAAGAAAATAAAAAGAACAAATAAAATCAATAGAATATAAAAGAGAAAAAACAAAGAATGAAGATAAAAAGAAAAAAAAAGTTTAGATACAAGCAAAAAGAAAATGTGTATTAACTTAATTTAAATATATAATAAAGAAAATAAGAATTCTTTTTTAAAAAATCAAGAAAATTTTGTGTTAAAAAATATTTACATATGTGGCAGGCCTGTGTGTACAAACACGTCCAACTTGTGTGGTTGAAGGTGTCATGTAAACACAAAAGGTGCAAAAAAAATAATTTTAAAACGACTTTTTTTGAGGGGGGGAGGGGGATCATAAAACCGTAATTAAATTTAGGTGTGTCTCTAAAATTTCGATCATAGTTAGGAGTACTTATCATTATCTCTACTTTAAAAGCACATTGTAATTAATATGGAAGATTTAGCAACATTTCAGTGACTCTTTGTGAAACAACTTACAAACATTTCTTGTAACATCTTTTATTACACCAATTGTACTTCATATTTTTTTTAAAATGCAAAAAAGGTACCTCTAAATTGTCTTTCACGTTTTCTTAAAATATATAATCCTTGTGATCGATTAATAGAATTTGAATTAGTGTGGTAGCACATTGAATTTGAGTCATCAATGAGTTACTACCTATAATATAAAGTAATATTCTTAAATATATTTGAGCTTTATTCGTTTTCAATTGAAGGAATTAATGATGAATTTATCTAATGTTAATATTTAACATTATGGTTATCAGTCGGTTATTTTAAACTTATATCATTTCAATTTTTCGGCCAATTTATAATGTATAACCAAAATTAAATTTTTAAAACCGTCCCAACCCTAATTTATGTGACACAAGCAGTGCAAAAATTAGCCTTTTTTGTTGTTTTAAATATTCTAAGTTATTAATTAATGTAATTTATAGTACTTTTTATTTATTTTTTAAAACATATGTTATTTTTTCTGTTTGGGAGTCAAATACTTTTTTTTACGTATTTTAAATAATATATCAAGTTGATGACTATTGTGAATTTTAGTAATAATTACGTCATTTTTAAATAATGTATGGTACTTTTTAAGTCCCATTTTATGAGGCACAATTGAATTTTGAGAGTTGGCTAAATTTTTATTAGCAAATAAAGATTGGCATTCACAAGAATGCTATTTGAAAAAATTACGATCTGAGGTACTAATTAAAGTGGGCCCCAATATAATTTTACTAATTACTAATTTCTCCGTCTACTTTTAATTGTCATGTTGCGCTTTTTATAGTAAGTTTAAATAATTTTATAAGATAAATTAGATTATCTTAATTGAACATTTTAAAAAAAAAATACACGAAAAGTACTATAAATTGTAGTTTTTGCATATTAATAAGATGAAAAAATATATCATAATATATTAGTTAAAATTCTTATAATTTGAGTCTAAAAGGAATGAATTGAAGCGACTAAAATATAAATAAGTGATGACATAGATTATATTAGTATTTAATAATTAGTATTTAATCAAGAAATAAATTATTTCATAGAAACTACATAAGTAAAGACATTGAAAATGAGAATGAAAAATAGGATGTTCGCTAGGTCTGAACCTGGGACCTTATACTTGGAATGTAGAACTTTGGCCAGTAAACCAAGTAGTAATTAATAGAAGCAAACAACTGAAGGAGACATGTTAACGCACAGGTGTGTGCTTATTCCCATTTATATAATAGTCATAGATATATAAATTTGTTCTCTCTTTTTAGTAAATAGAGGACAGCCCAGGCAAGCATGGGATATATCTAAATAAAGATAATTATAATTTAATTAATTTAAATAATATTTATTAAATTTAATTCATTTGATTGGAATATGAATTATTATAGTTTTCATTAAGTGTTCGGTCTAAGATAAAATAAAGTGTTCAAATTTCATGTCACGCCGGAGCCTACACCCCGGACGTGACCGGCACACGCAAACCATTTCTTGTATATTTTTTTTCTTTACTTTTCTTTCAAGTAATTTTTGAGTCACTTTACTTTTGTTCTTTCTCTCTCTTTGATATCCTGTATGTGAAATGTGATGTACAACACTTTCTGAGAATTTCACAATTCTGCTATATCTTGTTTGTAATGCTTTACTGTATTGCTTCGTTTATGATAACTTGATTTGATGTGATGTATGTGCTATTTTTGTCAAACTGTTTGATATATCGAACAAAAGATGTGGCATTTCTTGTTTGTAATGGTTTGCTGTAATATAATTCATATGCTACATTTATGCTCGTCTAAATATGATTACTGCTAATTCTTGATAGGATACCTATATTCTTGCATTTTAGAACCCTAGGTTTTAAAACAATCTCCATATCGAGTAGGTACTGTTTTAATCTGTCTGCAATAAATCAGGAATAGCATAGAATTCCGGAATATGAGGATGTTTCGTTAGGCTGCTTTGGCAATCAGATGAACGATGGAAAGTTTCATGGTGGTGCACAAGCATTTATGCTAATTAAGATGGGCGTTTCATGGTGGTGCAGAACATTTGTGAAATTATAATATGAGCTGCCCGTGCTGCCAGTGATCAATGGAGCGTGTATAGCATCAAGTCCGATGATCTGCTTGAAGATTTGCCTCAAGATTCAGAAGATCAGTATCTAAATACTAGCTTACAAATCATATCCACTTTGAGTTGTGATCTTGGAAATGTGACAAAAATGGGTTTCAATAGACCATGAAGAATCATTTCATTCCACAAAAATGCTAATTAAGATGAACGTTTGCGATTATCTGGTCATCTTGGATAAGGTATACAGATAGGTTAAAAAATGCTCAAATGAGGGAATGTAACCCTTACAACTTCAGAATCCATCCTTTCATCACAACCTAGTCAGCGTATCAGAAGCTTTTCCCGACTATGGCAGACAGGTGGATTGATGATTTTAGTTCAGAGGATGACCCTCTTCTATAGACTATAGGATGTTGAGTTTATGATATTCACTCAATGCCATACTTTAACCTATTCTAGCAGCTTTCATGTTATGTGTTTCTTAGGGATCTGAGTACAACAACAACTATTTGCTTTAATCCCAAGCTCGTTGGGGTTAACTAAATTAATCCTTGATGTCCATGTCGCTCCATTTAAGCCTCATCTGATTTTGAACAAACAAAAATGGGATACGATATTCTTTCATTTTAGAATCCCAGGCATGGTAGATAGTAAACCGAAAGTAATGAACTCGCTATTTGGTAACCCTAATAAAAGCTACGTTGTAGAGATAATCTGTTAGTTTGTTACATGGATCTGCATCAATGTTTCCCTTCTCGCAGTTCCACTTGTATTTAAAAAGTAGTATCCTGGATCATTCTTTTTGTTCTTTGTTATTAGTTTATTCAACTTTGTTGGTATTTCGTTGTTTGAATGAAAGTATCCCAGTGTTACTGATGCGAGATTTGGCATTAAAGATACGATAGAATTAAGCTTTAAAAGCCAAGGTGGAAAAATGGTTTTTTTTTGCAGATTGATTTCCATTAATCAGGGAATAAAGTTGGAGCTACTGAAACATTGGAAACTATTTGAATGAAAATCAACTTTCTTTGACTATAAATCTCACTCTAGTTCACATTGATGATGAGGGCCAAAATAATGCAGGCGTCGACAATAGCTGATGGGCAGAAACTAAATGGAAGCAGAGGTGATGTGGTGCTTATTCGAAAAGAAGGACATCAATTGGAAATTAACACAACCGTTGATTTGTGTTAACTAAGATTATTAGGTTTAGGTTTAGACTTCCATTATGGGCTTAAGCCCACTGTAATTATGTAACTATATATATAGCTATGCTAATGGAAAACCCCACGAGGTTGTATTTTCTAATTCGATACAGCTTCTACATGGTATCAGAGCCTCGACCGGGAATCAAATCCTAGCCGAGAGCCCAACAATTCCGCCGCCAAAATACAATCCTCAAATCGTCGCTGCAGTCTTGCACGATAGAATAGTCGAATTGGCAGATCGACACAGTCCCACGAAGAATCATGACAGGCGAGTCCATTCATCAATCCAGCAGCACTGTTTCCACAGCGACTGTCGCGAAGATTCGACCGATTCATGATCCGAGTTCCGTCTACTATTTGCACCCATCGGAAGGACCAAGCAACTCTCTAACTAAATACCTGCTAAAGGGAGACAATTTCGATGTTTGGGAACAAGCGATTTGTCATGCACTCGAAGGTAGAAGCAAGATCGGTTTTCTATATGAAAACGAGTTTCCAAAACCGACGAATGATTTAGAACTCGATGCTTGGAAAGCAAATAACTCCATCATATGTTCATGGATATTTAATAGTGCTGACGAAACGATCCAGCCTAGTCTCGTCGCCCACAAAATTGCCCACGAACTATGGACTGATATAAAAGCAAGATACAGAGGTACGAATGCTCCAAAATCTTGGCAGCTGAAGTCAGACCTACAAACGTTGCGGCAAAAAGGTCAATCTGTAGTTTCTTACTACAATCAGTTTATCACGATTTGGAACCAATTGTACGGGTCGATCGATCCAACTTGCGGCTGTATATGTCCTGCGGCTGCCAAAATGCGTCTTCGCTTTGAGGAGGAGAAGACGCAGGCCTTTCTTCTAGGGCTGGACGATGCACAATTTGGAGCCACTCGCTCCCAAATTCTCGGCACCCAACCACTCCCTGTCCTTAATGAAGCATATTATCTTGTCTCTCAAGAGGAGAGACATAAATCGATTGTGCGCAACCGAGATGACCAAACTGATGGACTAGCATTCGCGGCTGAAAATCAACCCACACAAACCCCAAAATACAAATGCACTCATTGCGGAAAAACTGATCACTCTGCAGAACGGTGCTTTCTTTTGATAGGATTTCCTAGCGGAGGAAGAAGGGGTCGTGGGGGAGGACGCGGAGGTAGAAGTGGTCGTGGTTCTCCTTCTGGCAGAGAACAAAGTGCCGGCCGAGGTGGGGGCTTGGCTGCACACGCTGACAGCTCCACTGCACCAACAGCGACAATCGGCAGCAACCAAGGCACAACTATTCTTGGATTATCGGCTGAACAGATGACTCAATTATTGCATATGCTAGACACTCCTACACAATCTGCCAACCACACGGGTACGGTACACGCTTTGTCACCCGATTGGTTAATTGATAGTGGTGCTTCACATCACATGACGGGTAATTTTTTATCACTTTATGATATTACATCTGTCCCTGAGTGTTCTATTGGTCTGCCGGATGGCACTCGAGTTGTGGCAAATTCTTGTGGGAGTGTACAGATTTCTGATAACTTAACTTTGCACAATGTATTATTTGTCCCTAACTTGAAGTGCAATCTGATCTCTGTTGGCTGTCTGATTAAATCAAATAATTGTCGTGTGATTTTTGATGATTGTTGTTGTGTGATACAGGACCGTGTTTTGACAACGGAGATTGGTCGGGGTACAGCTCGTAACGGGGTATATGTGTTCCAGTCTCAAGCCTTCGTGTCAGCTTCTAGAGCCAACCAAGTCGATTTACTACACAAGCGACTGGGTCATTCATCTCTTGCAATTTTATGTTCCCCTCCTTTTAATAACACCCCCTCAGATGTCAAACATTTAGAGTCGTGTGAGATCTGTTTTTATTCTAAGCAAACTCGTTCAAGTTTTCCTTCTAGTTCTAATAAAGCTGCGTCCATTTTTGATTTAATTCATTGCGATTTATGGGGTCCTTACTCCACTTGTCTGTCTTCTGGGTCACATTATTTTTTAACCATTGTCGATGATCATTCTAGAGCTGTCTGGGTGTACCTCGTTAGAGATAAAAGTGAAGTCACATCTTGTTTAAAATAATTTCTTACATTAATCCAAACTCAGTACCACAAAACTATAAAAATTATCCGTTCTGACAATGGTACTGAATTTCTTAACACTCTTCTCCGTCAGTTTTATCATGACATGGGCGTTCTTATCCAAACATCATGCGTCGGTACCCCCCAACAAAATGGAAGGGTCGAGCGCAAACACCATCATATCTTAAACGTAGCACGCTCTTTAATGTTCCAAGCATCACTACCAGTTGAGTTTTGGGGGGGAGTGTGTCCGTACTGCGGTTTATCTCATCAATCGCACACCTAGTCGTATCCTCGGTGGCAAATCCCCATTTGAAATACTAAATAACACCCCACCAGATATATCCCATCTACGTGTTTTCGGGTGTCTGTGTTTTGTTCGAAATATCCAGCGTCCACCAAATAAATTTGCACCTCGAAGTTTCAAATGTATGTTTCTAGGTTATCCTTCCGGGACAAAAGGTTGGCGGGTATACGATTTGGAAACTCATCATTTCTTTCATACGCGTGACATCTCGTTTGATGAAACGACCTTTCCTTTCGCTCCCACACATACCAACCAGCAGCCCAAGACGTCCAAACCACCGGTCCACCAAGCAGATTTTCCGAACAACATTGTTGTCCCTACCTCATCAACCAATTCCAACACTTCATTTAATTCCCAGCCACACAGCAGCACGCCCCAACAGTTAGCACCCACACCCATTGTGCCTCCCATCGACAGCAGCACGTCTCAATAGCCAACACCCACAATGCCTTCCATCGACAGCAGCCCTCCCATCGACCAACGCGATAATTCGCCAAATCCACCACCTACCCGTGCTTCGAGTCGTGTGCGTCATCCACCTACCTATCTTTCTGAATATGTGTGTCAATTTGCTACCAACGTACCTTCCGTTACTTGTCCCACGACGAGTCCTCGTTCAGGTACACGGTTCCCTATCACTAAATACATTCATTATGACAAATTACATGACAGATATCGTGGTTTCTTGGCTGCCATTTCTACTACAGACATCCCCAGATCATTTCGAGATGCTGTTAAATTGGCTAATTGGAGGGAGGCTATGCAAATAGAAATCCGAGCCTTGGAAAATAATCAGACTTGGGTGTTAACTGATCTTCCAGCCGGTAGACGAGCTCTGGGTTGTCAATGGGTGTACAAGACAAAATATCATGCCGATGGATCTAAAGAAAGGGACAAAGCACGGCGGTTGTTCTGGGTAATCATCAAGAATTTGGCACAGATTACACGGATACTTTTGCTCCAGTTGCCCGAATGGGAACTGTACGAATTCTTTTGTCAGTTGCCGTTGCCAAGAATTGGGAAATTCACCAACTGGATGTAAATAACGCCTTTCTACATGGAGATATCACCGAGGAGGTCTACATGCGGCTTCCACCCAGCTACTCTACCGCACACCCAGGCAAAGTATGTAGACTGCAAAAATCTCTATATGGTCTACGG